GTTTGGGTTTAGAAAGCATGGATAGCAGTTTCAAGATGTAGCACTTCATGTTTCAGCTATAACGCTTGTGGCTTGATTGCATGGAGGATAGAGATTCTTGTAGTAGTCAAACCCCTCTACCAAGTCACATTGGTTCAAGTCTCTTCCATTTTATCATAGTTCATTGCTCAAATGTGTACAGGCATAGATATATTCAGTATAGATATACAGATATGATGCGCTCATCCATGCACACACACACACACATCCAACATGCTTATATGCATGTATATGTACCTGCACATATAGACATATTTATGCGTTCACACAAACACCCACATATAGAGGTACGTCCACATAGGCAAACGTGCTTGCATGCATCCTCATGTATGTACTTAGGTACGTGCACAACCAAGAGCTTGTAAACCTTTATGCATTTTTTGGAGAAATAATGTCTTCGCTCTAGATTCCCTAACATTTTTGGGCACTAGTAGCTTTCATCCTGCATAATGGCAAAAATATCGCATAAGCTAGGGATGACATCAACATTAGGCGGCCTACACTCATTTCATGCCCTCATATGATTTGTCAGGCCTAGTGTTGATACAAAGTTAACTCTTGCTTTAGAAAATATTTCTTCCATTGTGCTTGTAAAATGTGGAAACCACCATAGTCCTAAAATGCCTCGCATTACAGAGCAAGTGCATTTCTTTATTAAAAAATATTACTTAAGCCTGCTTAGTTCACAAGCCCCAGAAAACATTAGTAAGTCTATATCATGTCATAATAATTTATCACAAAACACAAATCCATAATAAAGCAGCGCAAAAGTGAGAAGCGGATAAACGAGCCAGGAAAAAAGATAGAATATCCAGTGGTTATGTTCTTCTTTCGACTAAGATCAAATTATTACATTTAAACAAGGAGTATTCATCATGTTTTTACATTAAAAGAAGGGAGAGGTTTGAGGTGGCAAAATAGAGCACAACGAGTCCCTTGTCAATAATTAACAATATAATTTAAAAGTAGCAACGGCTTTCGTGCTAACCATTGCTTCTTGCTTTTGAGTCAGCGAAGACAAGCAAGAAAATGGATGCCCTTTAGCACAACAACTTTTCATCATATCGCAGCCAGTATATTGGGTATATTAGCATGTCTATTCCATCTTAGTGTCAGCCCACCCCAACGTCTCTACAAAGGGACTGGAACAGGTTACCATAAGACAAAAGATATTATTTCTAAAGAGATTCAGAACTATTATATGTCCAAGGTCCAATATTAAAATCATTTCAGAGGTTTTCCCTGACTTTGTCCAGGGAAGGGGCCCTTATGAAACAAGACTGATAGAATCTACATAAGGGGAAGACAGTTTTTTCCTGCTGCTCGTCCAGCACAGCAGCCAGCCCACTAACATCTCAAGACCCCAAGCTGAAGATTTACAGATTGTACTTTTCTTAGTCCATAAGGATCAGACACCCATATTCTAGGAACATATAAACCTGTCACATGAAATGCACCAAACCTAAAGCAAGTAGATCCGGGGAAAGGATTGGAAAGATAATTTCATTATATTTCTGACCAGGAACAGGACCGATTACAACAATATCTTTTTTAGTGGGGGCGAAAATTCTAGAAAGATAAATTACCTATCTTTTCTTTCATCTCGAGAGAAATATGATCAGGAGGAGCTAATTCAAATCCTTGTCCGAAAGCACCTGCTATGGAACAACCGAGTAGGGGTAAAAAGACTATAAGTAGATACATCAAATCGAGCATGGAGACAACAAAAAATCTGACGACGACAGAGCAGCCTGGGTCAGCAAAACAAAAGGAACAGCCCACCTGCCATATGGTATTATAAGGCTAGGGACCCCTCCTCCGTGCCAAGTCATGTCATGTCATTTTTTGTGCCTAAATTACCGATACCCTCTCATACTTATTATATAAAAGACCGAGAGGTAAACAACACATGTATTCTTTACCTCCTTATGCATTCATAGCATAAGACTTTACTACTCCAGCCGCATTATATACTCATCACCAATACATCGCAGGCTTCATCATGACAGGGTCCTTTGCTCATGGAACTATATTCTTCATTAGGGATTACAATCCGGAACATAACAAGAACATGATAAAAAAGACTTAGACTTGCATCTCAGTTTGAGATTTTGGATATGGGGAAGGCTTTTTTCCTCTTGGGTATCGAGTCAAGATCGTGTAGGAAGTGGTGATAAACAAGAGAATACTCAAGATTCGAGCCATAGACTTTCTCAATTCTGACACAAGGTACTTGATTACCTATTCGATCTAATAGAATGATTTTGCTGTAACCAGAATAATATCAATCCAACATATAGGCCATATCCATTTCTTCATATCTTGGCTCCTATGAAGTCTCTTTCTTTACTACAGCTGATAAAAACCGTTCCCTTTATTTTAGCAACGTAATCGCTCTTCTGATTTTGGAATGAATCTTCATTTTCAGTACATTGTTTCTTTTACACATTTGTCTCTACTCCAGCATCCCTCTATACCCACTTTGTTGCTTCCATGATCCTGAGTGAGACAATCTATTAGGTTTTTTCATGGTCCTTGGTCCCCTCGTCGATTCATTTGCATTTGCCACTCGGACCAAGACATAACTTTTACCAAAGAAAAGTTGATCACTTTGTTCAAATAACAATTAAGGTGAAGCAAGGCCAAGAATTACGAATCTCTTTATGATAACAGATCTATTTTGCAAGCTCGTTATTATAGGTAGTTCCTACAAGGGATCGGACTAATGATGCATACAATACTTGAATTATCGATGTAGGCGCTACATAGTTAGTTCTCATCCTTCAGAGACTACAAATATAATAAGAGCATCCATCGACAAAAAGATCGCCCTAAGATGATCATCCCATGGCTAGTGAGAACGAATCAAATCAGATGGTTCTATTTCTCAATACTAGTTAGAGCGTCTTGGAGGGTCTGCTTTTCATTAATCAAAATGAACACCCTTTGTTGTAAGAAAGGGGACAAGGACGACCTATACTTTGTACACGATCTACATAGAAAGATAGAAAGAGGTGAGGACCCCCTTTGCGATATGTATAGAATGCTCTAGGATTGCGTAGGATTCTTTGGCTACACCGTAGCGGCGGTAAAAGTCAACCAACCCTTACTGTTGATCCAGGAAAGGCTCAAGATATGAGAGAATTAAGGATAGCTCAATCCAATCCATAATGATGTACCCCATTGAAAAATATCTATTTATGTTCATATCTACTTATATTTAAATATATTTCCAATAAATGACAATAATAATAGTGCATACTTAATACAAAATATTGTTTTTTAATTTAATTTAACTTAATGTTGTTTAGACAATATTGCTATCGTTATTGTGTTGATTACCTCATGTGGTAAAACTGTAGAAGCCAGAATCTACACGTACGGAAAGAAACTATACAATATTTGATAAATAAATAATTTAATTGTGAGTGCTACCCAGATTAACAGACGCTATAGTTTTGTTTAGAATGCAATCCTGGGCATAATTCAAAACTATAGCCCATTGAGGTCATGTCCTATTTTGGTACATTCCCACTCTCTCCTCACCACAGTCTATTTTGGAGAAAACCCCAACTATAGTCCTAGCATAGCAAATTACACCATACTCATAGTATTTTGTATGTATATGATTTAAGTGCAGAAGGTGTATTAAGGAAATTGCTTCAGTTTCAGATGTCCAAACCTGAACTTGAGCTGTGAGAACAATTAGAACTCCATGTATCGAACTATCTTGAATGATATCATTGAGGCCTGCATCTCCCCATTTATATTCTACATTTGGTGAGAATTCATGGGCAAGTTCTGCCGCAGCTTTTGCAGATTCCTAACAGAGATGAATGAAAGAGAAACATATGATTAGAATAGAAAAATAAAAGAATAAACCAAAAAAAAATTTATTCCTTTCTGTTAATTACATAAAGAAAAGTTGGGTAAAGTATTTTGTACACTGTCTATGATGCTAGTCTATATAGTGTAGTCCCATATCCACCATTTATTCTCAATGACAGATGGTGGAGATGATCTGTTCCTCCATTTGACGGGTAATGGAAAGTTTAAGCAGAGGAACAGATCATCTTATCCATCCACCCATCATTGAGGACAAACAGTGGAGGTGGACCAATATTGTGCAGTGTCTAACATATACTATCAAACTACAACTGATCCATCCAAGAAGAAATCTGGCATTGGCACGTGATATACAAACATAAGATGCCCAGAAATTCAAATTCAAAGATGGGGCGTTTAACTATCTATTATCTAAAAGTCTGCTTTTACTAATCCACCAATAATAGCATTGCATGAACTATTCATGTAGTGAAGTCTTATGATCAAAATAAATGTCACAAGCCTAGAGAAACAAAATGCAATTCAAGGCAGTTTATCTTAAGAAGGTTGTTCAAGGCACTAATTTCATTGTCTTAATAAGTTTGACCCCCTATGAAGTTTCTACATATGACAATGCATTCCATTATGGCGTGGATGAATTCTACTTTTCAGAAATAGTGTGTCAATTATCATAAATGTGGGATAGTTTTAAATCTTTCCATCAGACTATAGCATGTTTCTCTGTAGAAATGAAATTTCATAAGGTTGTTCCATTGTTATAATCTATTCATGATAAACAACAGACTTACCGATTAAATAAACAAAATAATAAGAGTCGCAGATAAAGGGGTCCAACATTAACTGCTTGTTTTTCTTGCTGAAGTATTGTCCATACTATAGTTTCCAACTTTTTAGTGAACTTGCTACCCACATGATATAATTAGCTGATAAGTACGAAGTGATTAATTAACACAAGAATTCTTCTTTTTTTTCTTTTTTTTGGTCAATAAAGGCAGATTCTTAACACAAGAATATCTTCCATCCAACTATAGACCCAATTGACACATTATAAAACAAGGACAGCGAAAAATCGAATACCTGTGAAACAGTAACCTTAGATCCAATATTTAAATGACATGCATACCTCGCTTCGGCTCCAAATCACTCTGAGAACCACAGTTTGAGATATCTCTTTTAGCCTAGGAATGTATTGTGAACGAACAAATATGCCACCACCAAGTAGTGCAATATGAGGCAACATTTTCTCTTCAACTGATGTCATTGCACCCCTGCATGCCATGTACCGTTACCATAGAAGCGAAAAATAAATGTCAGACAAAATCATCCACCACCACCACCAGAAAAGAAAGTGTACAGTTATTGAATGGAGTATGGTGTGCGTTACTTCAAATGTGCACCAACAGGCAATAATGTTAAGCTTAGTGGGAGCCACTGGGACTGTCCTATTCATAATTTCCACCATCCATCACTGGGAACAGATTGTGGATGTCCCTTCGAGTACCACATGTCATAAACCAATAGATTATGGAATAAGTTTTCAAAAAAAAAAATTAAAAAAAATAAAGCCACAATACTCTTTTTGGAATCACGATAGATCCTTGATCTAGTGGAAACATATGCAACGATGAAAGTAAGAGTAACATTGGTCCCCATTAAAGATTGAAAATGTTCGGCTAGATTTTTAAACACAGCCAACAAGAGATTTTATAGGCTTTATTTGTTTGCTATGAAGATTTAGATGTTGCGATTAAAATGAAACTTACAAAAACTCAAATATAGTTTATCAATACTGATCATAAGGGAATCAGTACCGCAATATAATTTCACTCACATTCCAAGTTATTTCCCACCAAATCAAATGCTGTTTGTTAGCAGAAAAATCTGAAAGATCTATTTCCCCCATAATAATTATAGCTTTTCCCCCATAATAATTATAAACAAGGTAGAATCTGAAGTTTAATCATAGAGGTAATTCTCTTAACCGATGCTAAAGTTGGGATAAAAGGTGGCATATTTAAATGCTTTCAGATTCCAAAATCTGTTTCATTCTGATTCACTCGTGCACAAGTTCTGTGAGTTATTATTCAGGTAAATAAGGATCAACATGCACCCACAGTAATTAAATGATGCTACACTCTGGAATTTGGATATAACAAGTCACAAGTAAATTCAACATGTCCCAAATCACTTTTATGCTGATTCTTTCAATCTCCCAGAGGTGCTTGTAGTTTTTCAACAAATAAGAATAGACTAACAAGTAACTGGGCCCATGTATACACCTAAGAAGTGGGCATGGGTCTCTTTCATCTCCATGCTAAATCCTTGTCCTTGGAAATCAATGGAAAACCAGTAACCCATTTCCTAATATATGTTTATAAAGTAAATTATTCCTTGAATTTTTTGGAAAAGAAAGCAAAACTACTTATATTAGCTAAAGAAAAACACTCAAGTACATTCATACAAAATGTGGTTCGAAGTATAAACGTATGAGAAATATCGTTTCTCCTTTAAAAAATGTGGTAGCATTTCATTTTCATTTCTTTTATTGAAATTACAAGGGCCAAAACCGTGCCCAGAGCCCATTAGATCCGAAACCTAAACTGGGTAGTATTTCATTTTCAAGGGCACTGGCAACTGAAAACCTAAATTGGGTTCAAGAATCAAGAAAATTAAATCCGAAGCTTAAATCTAGAACAGAGGAGAGACAAATAAAGAGAAACTTTCATGCTCATTAGATGGGTTAGTACTAAAGATAGATATATCAGATTCAAACAAATATACTTCCACAGTACTCAAACTGAATCAATGTAGATCAGGAGAGATCCAGCACCCTTTTACCTTCGTGAGATTTGTAGAGACTGGACAGAGCTAAGCTGGTTTAACTTTGCACTACCGAAGTTATTGTATTTTCACCTGATAAAAACAATAAAACAGCAGGAATGGTATTTTCACCTGGGAAAGGTGTCTGTACTTCGCCTGTAGCACGGAAGATCTACGCTTCCCCTGTCATCCAGCCGTTCAATTTTGATTTCACCAATCTTGAAATCCGACGGGTCAAAGTATTTTATTTTTAGTTTTTTTATATATACACGCTTTCCCTGTCATCCAGCCGTTCAATTTTGATTTCACCAATCTTGAAATCCGACGTGTCAAAGTATTTTATTTTTAGTTTTTTTATATATACAGATTGTATCGGCATAAAATTTGGAACGTGCCATCTTTTCATTGAACGCACCTATAACAAATGTTAGAAATAATGTTTTGATAAAGTATAATAATAACCAAAATACTTGTTAAACTTTCAAAAGTATTTTGATCATTTTATTTTATTGACAATATTTTTTTTATTGCGAGTTTAATTGATAATTGAACGTACAGAATTTAGTATCAAATTAGTTTATAAAAAAAATTAAAAATAAAATGGTGTAGAGACATGACATTGTACTTGGAACAATCTTAATCCTCCATTTATAATAGACGGTTGATAAAAAGAAGTATATAAATTTTATGTTGTAGGAGAGACATAGAAAGCTTGTCCTTTTCACCATATCCATAGCAAATTAGCATAAAGGTGTATTTGTCATTTTCATATATACGAGAGACTCGACATTCAGTATTTTTTATGGAGTGACTACCGGAATGCTTGAATTTTCGCATCTGAGACCATGATGGCACCATGATACGCCATATTTTATCACATTTGTCCTCGACCCAAGCCCAATACTTTTTTTTTTTATTTCTTGTAGGAGTCGAGTTTTTTAATTCTAGTAGAAATCGAACTAGAACATCAGCAGCTAACCACTCAAACCCAATCCTGAGCACTTGCTCCTTGGGATGGAATCAACACCTAATTCTCTTTTGATCAGCCTTAAAACTAGTTTTGGCTGGGACAATGCAATTTAAAAACTCGATCGGGTGGATCAGTGATCTAGATCAGGTGGATTGGCAATGCAATTCGGATTGATTCTGATATGTATGATTGGGCTTTAAGAAACTAACATGACACATATATGCTCATGTTAGCAATGTGGATCATCATTGTCCCAAAAAAAAAGTATTGGAGGGTGATGGAAGGATAACCGCATACAAAAAACTTAGGGTGTAGTTTGTACAAGGTTGAGGTCCTAAACAATCAAAGTAAGGTGCAGTTTGAAATGGTGTCCAAAGATATTTTAATATTGAAAATCTTTGTGATGGCCTGAAAATTTATTTTCATCTCTAATTATAAAATTTAAAGCTTTAAAAATAATATAGATCGAACAAATCTATAAACACTTGAAAATTTTGAAAATTGATAATTCATAAGATGTAGTATCTTCAATATTTAAAATTCATTTTTTCTCATATCCATATATCTTAAAGTCGAAATGATCTATTTGAAGATTTTTTTAGCATCAATCAACCTCTTATAATGAATTTTTGAGGTGCGCCTTATTTGATTGTTCAGGGCATCACCTTAATATCAACTTTTTCCAAAAACTTACAAGCTTGGTGGAATTCATTCCTTCACTAACCGATCTAATGACTGAATATGGTGATAATCATTAAATGATGCTATCATGACCATATAGAACATATAAGATGACCGCATCTCACTTCCTAAGGTCTATTTGGACAATCCAACGGCTCCACAGTACAAGAGAATTATTTATAAGTGAAGAAAATTAGTTTTTTTTTTTCTTCTTTACATTTTGTTGATAAGCAAGAGTGACAAGAGGCGACCATACATAAGGGGACCAAGTTGGGCTATAGCTGCTTTGCTAAACGGGTGGAGGGAAAAAGTTGTCCTATACCATGCTCTACATGAGCATAGAAAATCTATGGTTAATGATCAATGATCATCCAATCAACTGATGGACGACGATCGAAAGGCAGTGGACCTTTTAATCATATCATGTCATCCTCTCCTAGATCCATCTCTCTACATGACCGTCCATTCATGATATGTGACAGGTCACCACTTAATCATAGATTTGCTCTGGTCGTGCAACATACCATACTCTTAATCGTTTTCATCAAGAAAATCTACAAGTGCTTTATAAAGATTAATTGTGACTATTTTATACTAAAGATAAATAATCTCATCGTATTTTTTTTTTTTGAAAAAGCATCTCCATACCCTTTATTTTTAAGTTTTACATCTCAATAGACCCAAGTTTCAAAACCTATCTTGGATCATAAAAATTCTACTTTTAACCTTCTGCGCTAACTTTATTCCCTTTAAACTTATTTTTTTACCCCAAACAAAAATAAAAAAGATATATTATTTCTAAACACCTTCATCTCTCTCTTCATATGATTTTCCCTTAAATCTATCTCTCTACCTATTTTCCCACTCTATCTTCCCCGTGTCTCTCACCCTCTCTCTCCCCCTCTCTCTCCCGTTAGAGACACCAAGAGGATGAATGTTAAAAAGAGGGAAATTTACAGAGAATATATCACGTAGAGAGAAGAAAAATTTAAATGAGCATATCTTTTTTATATTTGTTAAAGCTAAAAAAATAGTGAGTAAAATTAATCAAGAAATTAAGAGATACATTTTGAATATTTGAATCTATTGAGATATAAAAACTAAAAATAAGAGGTACAAAGATATTTCCCTTTTTTTTTCTTTTATAAAAGCTTGCCTTTCAGTAGTTAAAAATACTTAAGTTTATATATATATATATATATATATATATATATATATATATATACTATACTACACACTATACTTACTACTACTACGTACTAACTAACAACTAAT